GATGAGTTAACAGGAGACTTCTAACAATCGTTAGCCTAAGGGACCAAAGGTGAAACAAAACAACATAATAGTGAGAAACAATGCAACAAGTCAATCATCTTGACAATGCATACAAACGATTAGAGAGCACGTGTACCGTTTCTTTAATTTGGTTTATACTGTTAGTGTAACATAACATGTAAGACAGTTTTATGCAAAAACTAATAAATATAAAGGTATATATGAAGATCCATATATATACCTTAGAAAATAAAAAATTGCTTGAAATATTGTTTTGGTATATAAAATAAAAAATTGCTATGTTTGGCGTACTAACTGAAAAACTAGCTGATAAAAAATAACGTTTGGTAAAAGTAGATGAAAAGCTAGCTGAAATATATAAAATTACATAAAATGACATGTAAGAGTATGTGTTTCTATAATTAATTAAGGGGTGTATTTGGAAAATTTTAAAAAGCTCCTAAAAAGCTAGTCTAAGTAGCTTTTCAAAAAGGTAGTTTATAAGCTAGCTTATAAGCTAGCTTATAAGCTACTTTTTGGTTTACCAAATACGACAACATAAAAAAGCTCGAAAAATAAGCTAGCTGTGACGCGCCAAACACAGCCTAAAGACTATATTATTTTGGTTTTAAAAATGGTGTTATATATTATGGGTTGGAGATGATATTATATCAAAACCAAAGCTGATTAGCCCAGATAATTAGAGCCATTGGAATTACACATGATGAAACTTTCCAGCTCTGAACAACCAAATATTAAGCCTTTTGGAAAAGAAAGAAAAACCTGGAAAACATGGGAAGAACAATGAAAAACAATAAATCAATAAGATATATCAAACATTTTAAACCTTTGCAATCCATATAAACTTTTTACATTAAAATAAAATAAAAAACGGTGCAACTAATGAACTAATGTTTTATTTTCAACCTTACTTTGAATCTATTTCCAAACAAAAAATTATTTCAAATATATTTATATTTTATAAATTATATCTTTTATTAATTAGTATTTAATTAGCAAATATGTACTTTTTTTACAATAGTTTTATAAACTTATCATAAATAAATAACATTTATATTGTAAGATCGATATATCTCAAAGATAATTTTAAAAATAGAATAATTAAATTATCGTGTTTTAATTTTTAGAACATATTTAAATTTTCGACTAATTTGAAACATAAAAATTAAACTTTATTGTTGTAATTACTTTAAACCAATTAATATACGTATTGTAAATATTAATTATTATATTTTAAATATAACTAAGTAATTAAAATAAACTAAAAATTTATAAACCTAAAATAAAAGGGTTTAAAGTTGACGTTTGACTTTTTAGTGTAAATTATAGGGAAAATGACTTAAAAGAGTAAAAAAGTTTAAAAAAATGTACAAAAAGATTATTATTTTTTTAGTATAAAAAATACCTTTAAATTGAAGAATTTATACAAAAAACACCAACAATGTACTAATAGAGGCTCGTGGTAACCTGAGGTAACCGGTTACCTCAGGTAAAATAATGCATTGGGTTATTTAATGGACATTTACATCTTCAACTACCAAATTAGGGTTCGTCATCTTCATCAACACCCCTCTTGCAACGGCTCCTGATGGCATCTTCATATTCATTAACATTTTCGAAATCAGTTTCACACATTTCCAAGAGTAAGAGTAAAATTGAATTATGCTCACATTTGTCACTGTGAGAAGCCTTCCGTAATTTGGACATCAACTATGAGGGGTAATCCGGACAAAAAGTTTAGGTGTTGTCGTATCTCAATGGGAAATGAATCTTATATATTTATCATCTACTTCTCCTACATAATTGATTTCTCATATAAATTTTATTATGTATATGAAGGAATCCAAGAAGAAAAAATATGATTTCTGGGAATGGGTCGATGACGATGAAGAACGAATAACACAAGATACCACTGAAGTGAAGATATTAATATTGAAAAGTAATTTCTGGACTCACGAGGTGAAGATAGATCATGAATCAATGAGTTTTAGAAAGGCATCAGATAAGTTAAGTAGGAAATATTGGAATCTCAAATGTGTTTGTATGTTGTTGTTTTTTGTTATGTTTGTATTGTATGTTATTCTAAAATAAAGTGTAAGATTGAGTAATGTACTTTGAAAGTTGTAACGAAATGACTTTGGTAATGTAGTTTGAAAGTTGGGTTAATTTAATGACTTATATTCGAATGAAATTAGTGTTTTATGGAATGAAAAAATAGTTTTGATAGTGGAATGGAATCATTGATTCCTAAACAAAGTTGAGTGATCACATTGGAATTGAATCAATGATTTCTGGATAAAATCGAGTGTACACATTGGAATGGAATTAATGATGCCTGAAATAATTGAGTACACAATAAATGTTTCCAACAACACCAACAATATATATATATATATTATATATATATATATATATATAGATATATATATATATATAGGGAAAGGATCAAATGAGAAGACCTAAAAGGTTGAGAACGTGAGAACAATTGTAGACCAATCATTCCATAAGGACGTAAAGGGAATTTTACAATGTAATTAAATATGGATAATTAATTAATTCCTACAATTATGGGATGTTGTCTAATTAATTGATTTTTTTACCTAAACACTAGAAATGAATTTAATCTATTTTTAATCAAATAGATTATTTTAAAAAAAAACTTTTTTACCATGATTAAAAAACGTTTTTTTTTAAATTTTTTTTACCAGTATATCAAAAAGATTTATGAATTTATCATTTAACCGAATATGTGTAATCATACAAAAATAAAATATATTTGTAATCATATATGAATTTGTTGTAATCGTGAATGAATAGATGAATTAAGTTGTAATAATAAGCGAATATAACACAATTTATAAAGAAAAATTACAATACAACTATAATCATAAATAAATAAAACATATTAGATAGATATATATATATATATATATTATATATATATATATATATATATATATATATATGTAGATTACACATCTATTCATAAATAATTACACAAAAAGTTACAATGTAATACATATCTATTTTTCTATAATCACATATGAATACAACATAAAGAAACATTCGAATAAAAATAATTCACTATTATTATATAATCATAAATGAATAAGGCGAGATCTTTTCCACTTTGTAATGTTTGGCTGTATATTAGCACTCCAACATCCGGTCTGTAAAAGCTACACATTGTCAAATAAAGAAATAAATACAATTAACAATCAATTAAATGAAAAGGATTTAGAAAAGCACATATGAAGTTAAATTATAAATGAAGAGACATGAACAAAATATAAAATACATATGAATTCCTATAATTGTAATTATATTCATACATGAATATATACATATGATTAATAAAAAATGAATACACTTCTAATCATAAATTAATATCATAGTATAAATTACATTAGGTTCTAAAATTGTTTGATTCCCTTAAATCTTTATATCAATCGAGAAACAACTGTGAAGAAGTGAATGGAAAACAAAAAATAACTCACATCCAGAAGCAATGTTTGGAAGCCAATAGAACAGTTAAACAAAACACCATAAGCCCATAAAACAAGAAAATGATTAATCATAAAATTGGATACTTCAAAATCATGCAAATTCAAAGAAAATCATAGCTAGGCATTTCATCAAACACATACTATGCACAACAATCATTTTCATATCACCTGATATTATTTCAAAGCATAGTCAGAACCTGGTTCTTAGTTAAAAAACCGATTAGGTTTTTGTAGAGAGTGCGATATAAAAAGAAGAAGAAAACAGGGGAGAGAGGCGGTGGAATAGGAGGCTCCTGTATCGATTGAAGATCAGAATAGGAGGCTACCACTGGTCACTCTTTCCATTGGTTCACGTCAACTCATCTTCGTGACTTCGTCGACAGCCAAGATCTCGCCCAGCAACTACTCATCCAGAGAGACACAGGCGTCTCCGACCGCCCTAGCACCTTGGCGACTCTCAACATCACCTCAGCCTTGTACGACCCTACTTGGAGGGTCCTTCGTCACAATCTTGCCACTGAGATCCTACAACCCTCCTGCGTGAAGTCCTATTCCTTGGCTCGCAAGTGGGCCCTTCAAACCATGATTGGTCGCTTGCAGCACATTTAAGAAAAATCGAGAACAATCCTTTCTGATTAAAATCAATTTGCAAGTCTGGAATCTCAAGATGAAGGTTGTGATGATGGTTTTGGAAGTGTATGGTGGTGACGGCTCAATTAGGGTTTAAAGGTTTGAAATTTGTATTTAGAGAGTGAGATGAAGAAGGATATGTGAGTGAGAGATAGATAGAGAGGGAATAGAAAGATTCCAGCAACTTGACGAAAATAGGTTAACATGTAATGACCATATTACCCTGTAGACTATTAAAAATTTACAATCTCATCCCATAACTTTTAGAAAATTACATTTTCATCTCATGACTTTTATAAATTATATTAGCCTTAGATCGTAATATTTGAAGAGCTCAGATTTGTTCTCGTGTTCTCAACCTTTTTGGTGTTCTCATTTGATCCTACTCTTATATATATATATATATATATAATATATATATATATATATATATATATAATATATATATATATATATATATATATATATATATATATATCCAAAGTGGGACCTTTAACAAGATTGTAGCATAAATATAATTGAGTTTTTCATCTAACCTAGGCCACATAAATTATATGTCATTACAATATTTAACAGGACACCTAACCAAACACATGTGCCTTCATCAGTTTTTGGCATAAATACAAAAAAAAAGTTATCAAAAGATGTGTCCAACAAAAGATTTGCCCCAACAAAGGATTCTCTAACAAAAGTTGTCCCCGATACTTTCTCCTAGATTGCGAGATGATTTTCAAGACTTTCCCCTTTATCAGTCTTCGTCACCACCTTCCTCTTCAACCTAAGTTTTGTGTTCCTCTAAGAACGACCATACTTTCTCGTTTTCAAATTAGGAGCAACCACATGCTAATTCCCAGTATTTTGCAAATCAGCCACACCTCCAATATCACCCACTTCTAAATCAACCACTTGTTCATCACCCACTTGCTCATCACCCAGTTTTAAATCAGCCATATGTCCATGTCCCTCACCAACATCCTCGGAAACCCCATGTCCCTCACCAACTTCTGCATCACCTCCAACCTCCTCATCAGCCCCATATCCCTCACCTACTTCTCCATCACCTCCAACCTCCTCAAAAGTTCTATGTCTCGCACCTACTTCTGCATCAAATAGCACGTGGTAATCAAATAGACAAACATCATCAACTGCATTAACCTGGTTGAGTGGACATATCCCATTGTTATGACCTTCTTGGGAACATAGACTGCAATTTGAAGTGGTCCCTCTTTTGCTAACAGTGTGTCCGCCACTTCTTTCTGAATTGCATTTCTTCATGTTTATGTTTGGTTTACCGGGCATTCTTCCACGTTTTGGTGGTAAGATGTGATGGGTTTTGAGAAAAAGAACATCCTATGTGCACATGCAAAACCCTAAAGCTTTGGATCTAGGTTTCTCTATTGAACATGCAAATTTATCCAAAGCTTGTAAACCGTAATCTAACATACTACAAACTTGAGATCTATATAAATAACCAAGTAAGAATATTACCTCTTGATTGTAGTATGAAACTTGAAACTTCAAAGCTTACGAGAACCAAGCACCTCAAATGTGATGCCTCTAATGGCTTACAAACACCAAGGCAAGAGGATGATGTTTAGGAGAGAGGATGAGAGGCTAGAATTCGGCTCCAAGCTTCCAAGGGATCAAGTGGCCAAATTCTGATGCTTTAGGGGTCCTTTTATTGAGCTGCTAGGGTTTCAATCAAAACCCTAATTGGATAGCTTAGGCCTTAAGCAGTCCACAGAACCTTCCAGAATAAGGCCCCCTTGGACGAATTCAAGATGGAATCCACCTTAATTTCGTCCATGCCTTAATCCATAAGGATTCTCAGCCCAAAATCAATTATCTTATAATTACAGTTCCAGTCCCCTTTATTTAATTAATCTCTTTTAGTCACAATAATTAATTCTTAATTAATTATTTAACTAATATTAATTAAACAAATATGATTTCTCTTTTAATATATTATTCATATAATATATTAATAAACCATAACAACCTCTCTCTCTCCATAAATCATCCTGTCCAGTTGCTTCGGTGAAGGCAACTCAAAAGGACCATGTAGAACCGGGTCAAGTATATACCAAATATAGTTACGGGCTTAGACACTAATCCAACAGTCTCCCACTTGGATAAGTCTATTAACTATAAATTCAAGTATCACTTCAGGATCCGATTAGCAATCGTAGCTCTCATAAGCCGTTGTCAACTCTGATCAGTAACTTGTCCTTTAGATAAGGGATCATATAATCCTCCGTTCTAGATATCGTGCGGACAAATACATGGAACATAGTCATACTTATTGTCTAATAATTTGTTTCTCGATCTCTGATTCGTCTGAAATAGAACTTAATTGAACACATCCATTTAGTCCTGACCGGGCCCGACACATAAGTCAAACCAAATCATCGAGGGGCCCAGATATCGCTTTTACCCTCTTAGGATAAAAGGAACAGATAAACTTCGACTTATATGCATTTACTATTCACTCATAAAATCATGCACAACAATGCGTTTTATAACATCAAGTTACTGATGCGTTTACGCATTATCAATGCACAACCAACTTGCAAACAATAAACCATATATCTTGGTTTAAAGACTATATGATATTATCATCTTGCGGTCACTCGTGATTAATTCCATGAAGTGATGCCAGCAAGCGTGGGTTTAATACAATGCTCAAATCTTGTTCATAAACACTCAGGAACGTTGCAGCAAACCTTTGCTATGTCTAATACTCTTTAGACAGTTTACAACCAATTCATGACAGTCTTCTTTCATACCTACTTCCAAAGTATGAGCGACTATTGACTGTTCAAATAATCTTATTATTCTGGAAGTCAAAACATGCAAAGTGAAATAATATGTAAATGTTTAACACAAGACCATAACTTTACTTATAAATAGTACTCTTTTATTTAATCATCAAATGTTAATACAATTTATCTATTACACATTTCGAAACTATCTAATCTAAACTAATATCGTCCTTCAGCCCAATGCTCCTAGCGTGCTGCAAGTGCTTAACCCTACTCAGTCCCTTCGTAAGGGGATCTGCTGGATTATCCTCTGACGATACCCTATTCACTACGAGGAGTCCCTCTTCCACCCGATGTCTAATAAAATGATATTTCCTGTCGATATGTCGAGATCTTCCATGATCCCTCGGTTCCTTGGTCAAGGCAACCGCTCCTTCATTATCGCAGAAAATCTCCATAGGCTCCTTTATGGCTGGAACAACCCCAAGGTCTCCGATGAAGCTTTTTAAACATGTCGCCTCCTTTGACGCTTCACTCGCCGCTATATACTCTGATTCACACGTTGAATCAACTACGGTCTCCTGTTTGGAACTTTTCCAAGTCACTGCTCCTCCATTTAGGGTAAAGACCCAACCTGACCGAGATCGATAATTATCTCGGTCTGTCTGAAAACTGGCATCACTATACCCTCTCACCCTTAAGTCATCACTCCCACCGAGGACTAGAAACCATTCCTTAGTCCTCCGAAGGTACTTAAGAATATTCTTGACTGCGGTCCAATGTGCTCTGCCAGGGTTCCCTTGATATTTGCTGACCATGCTCAAGGCGAAGGCCACATCAGGGCGAGTACAAGTCATGGTATACATGATCAAGCCAACTACGGAAGCGTAAGGTATTCAACTCATCTCTGCCACCTCGGCTTCGATACTCGGGCTTTGAGTCTTACTCAAATTTCCGTTGCTTTGGATCGGTAACTCCCCTTTCTTGGAATTCTCCATACTAAAACGTTTTAGTACCTTTATCCAAGTAAGTATTCTGACTAAGTCCTATTAGTCCTTTACTCCTGTTTCTCACTATCCTTATTCCCAGAATATAGGCAGCCTCTCCGAGGTCCTTCATAGCGAAACACTTCCCAAGCTAGGACTTAACTTCATGTAGGGTTGGGATGTCATTTCTTATGAGTAGTATTAAACAACATACAATACGAGGAAGCTAATTATACTCCCACTGGCGTTGACATATACCATGATTCATCCTCCGCTTCGCAGAAAACCAAAACTCTTTGACTTTCTCATCGAAACAAAGATTCCATCTGCGAGATGCTTGTTTTAATCCATAAATGGACTTCTCAAGCTTACACACCCTCTTAGGATGCTTCGCATCAACAAAACCCTCTGGCTAACTCATGTAAACATCCTCATCCAACTTCCATTAAGGAAAGCGGTTTTGACATCCATTTGTCATATTTCATAGTCATGAAATGCGCAATGGCTAGCATCACCCTAATAGACTTTATCTTCGCAACTGGTGAGAAGGTCCATCGTAGTCAACTACGGGAGTTTGAGTAAAGCCCTTCGCAACCAATCGCACCTTATAAGTGTGCACCTTCCCATCCATGTCGGTCTTCTTCTTGAAGATCCATTTGCACCCGATCGTCTTACGAGCTGACACATTGTCAACCAAATTCCAAACTTAGTTGTCATACATGGACTGAATCTCGCTGTCCATAACATCTTTCCATTTCGAAGACTCCGGGCCTGCCATGGCTTCCTTGTAGCTGTTAGGTTCATCCAAATTTATTAGTGTACTGTCACTAATAAACGTATCACCTTCACTTGTTATATGAAAGCCATATAACACAGGTAGGACACTAACTCTATTGGAACGTCTAAGAGGTAAGGACTTGTCAATCGGTTCAACATGAGTTTGCTCCTCGGGTTGAGCGCCAGTGTTAGAGTTTCCTTCATCGTTCGATTCTTGAATCTCTTCAAGATCGATTTGCTCCCACTATCTCTCCTTATCTTATGAGTTCCCGTTCTCGGAAAACCCCTCTCCTCGTAACAAAGACAACATTGTCACTCGATCTTTAGAAGATATATCCAAAGGACTTCTGCGGGTAGCCGATTGTGACAACTGTCGATTCAGGTCATTCTCGGACTCATGCATCTTTATAATAACCATTCATGCACATCATGCCATGGCCTAGTAGTATAAATTAGGTCAAAATCTTACATAAACTAGGATCCATCTAAGACCTAGGACTAATATACTTGACCTTACGATTCTAGTAAGTTGCTTAACTACAATAAGGAATGCCAATGCTATAATTTGAATGAAACTTTCAAGCTTTGTTATAATTGAAAAAGGGTATAAAACCCTAAAAATAAATTAAAATATTCTAATTATACTTCATTATGATGATGAATATCAAACAATATTCCAAAAACCCTAAGAGAGCTAAAAATCAAAATTTATAAATCATAAAACTTAAAAACTTTATAAAATTTGGCTATAAACTTTCTAATATCAAATTTTTATTAATCAAATTATGGATTATAATCATTGAAATAGAAATATAATTTATCATGCATTAATCATAATTAATTAGTTAAAAACAAGACTTTTAAATAAATCAAATTGCTTAAAGAATCACTTTTATAAAAATTGGATTTTTATAAAAAAA